CCCCTCCTCCTTTGGAGACATCTTGTAGTATAGTCTAGCGTTGCCTCAAATTCACAATCCTCCTGCCTCAGCCTACCAAGTGCTGTGGTTATGGGTGTGTGCCATTAAGCCTTGCAGGACTTTTCTTGGGTGCCTTTCACTTTGTATTTGAGACCAAGCCTCTCATTCTCCTGCAACCTCACCAAGAAGGCCAGGCTAGCTGGTCTATCTCCTCCTTTCTCTGTTACTGGAGTTATAAGTGCATGCCACTGTGCCCAGCATTTTATGTAGGTTCTGGGGGTTGAACTCAAGTCATCATGCTTGTGAAGCAAACCTTTGCTGACTGAGTTGTCTTTTTTGTGTAATTATTGTGTCATCATCATGTCCCTGTCCCTCTGTAAACTTACACTGTCCTCATGATATCTGTTACATTCAGTTGATTTGTTCATATCTGGACCCAAGCACAGTTCACACATGGCATTTAGTTGACACCTTTAAATTCTCTTAAAGTCACAGGAGGAAGAGTTTTGGAAAGTTTTTTTCTTAGAGACAACAATTTCTCAGAAAACAGAAGTCTGGTAAAGAGGATAAAATAATGTTCATGTATCCATGCTGAAACCTAACGGGAAAATGAGGCTGGGCCAAGCATGGAGAGGGACATTTTCACCTCCTCCTGTTGGTTGACCACTGCAGGGTCAGCTCTGGGGCACCTAACCTTTCTGCTCCCCCTAACCAGGCAGGAGGAGGCAGGGACACCTACAAAACTTTCCCTTTCATCTTCCTGGGGAAACAGGTGTTTGCCAGTAGGCCCCAAGCCCCAGCCAGTAAAGGAGCCAGCAAAAGGAGGGAAGACTTAACTTCGAGAAGGGAAGTCTACCAGGCCCAGAGTGACGGTCTGAGGCAGGAGAGAGAAGTGGCTGTGGAGTATGAGGCTGTCGGGAGGCACAGATAGAGGCTTGAAGAGCTATAGTCTGTTTGCAGCCCTGTGGAGAGCCTGGTATTGAGGGAAAAATCACTGGAGGAGTTGCCACAGTTCCTTTCTCACATCTTGGGGGTGGCTGATGCTGCTGTTTCCTACCCCTGCTCTGTGGGCATTAGAGCCTGCGCTGTTTCAAGGACAGTTGCATCTGTGTAAACAAAATCTGACTCCAGCCACAGCCTTCTGTTTTCTTGCCTCCCTTTCTGACCTTTTTTCCAGACACTAAACATTCCTAGGAGCCTGGTCAGAAATGCCCGGACTCCCTGGTTTCAGTGATAGGTCATAACTTGAAGATTGAAACAATGCCACATTCCTTCTGGAGACAGGTCTCACTGCAGAATTGATGTCTCTGACTTTCCAGGCTCAAGTGACAGCATCAACTCGTCACAAACAAGGAGCCCATTAATAATGAGGAAAGGCTGGCCTGACAGGGTCATAGCATTGATGACCTCTTCCTTGGAACTCATGTGGTTGGGTCTACCCAACCCAAGAAGTAATTGTCACCTCCTGTTGATGGGTCTGGGAGTAGGTCCACATGACATTTCATCTCTTGGCCTTTCTGCTCAATGAGTAACATTGTTGAGCCAGTAGGAAGTGGGGTTTTCCTTAAAAAGATTTACTTGGCCTGCATGTTGTCTCTCTGGCTATGAGGGGTGGGAGTTGGAGGTGGGGTGGGGGTGGGAATGAGCCATTTCTCTTCTAGGTGAGTAAAACCATCGGTATGTACATAAGAAGTCCCTTCTTTCCCCAAGTCTACTGATCTACTGGTTCAAATTTCCTTATGAAAAACAAATACACCCTGCCAGGATTAGGCTCAAAGGTCATTTATGGCTGCGTGAATTATACCTCCAAATGGTATTATAGCTGATCAAAGTGCCCGGGCCTCTTACTGGGGGATGTGAGCAGGTCCCAGGCTTAGAATTTCTTTATTTTATTTATTTGGTATGTAATGTTTGCCTTTCTGTGCATGTGTGTGTATATATGTATGTGTGCATATACATGTGCATGGAAGTGCCCCATGGTGTACGTATGGAGATCAGTCACATGAAACCTGGGATTGAACTCAGGTCATCAGGCTTGGCAGCAAGCATCTTTACCCAGTGAGTCATCTTGTTGGCCTGGACCTGGGATTTCATTCCAGTCTGTCTTGTCAGTAGCTAAGGGAATCAGTTCAACCATACAGATAGTAAGCAGGAACATTATTGGCTTTGGGAGGAGGGAGGAATAACCTGGAGGTGTAGACAAGGATAGAAGCAAATCCCAGTGTCCTCAGGTTGCTTCCCCAACTGCCAAACTGACATCATCCATTTATATCAGAGTTATATGTTATATCAGAGTTGTCAGTATTTCTTGGAAGATGTTTGAGTTAGGCTTAGACATATTTGGGAGTATGGGGTGAGGTAGTCCTGGAATAGGCCTCCTGCCAGATGCCAGTCCAAACTGTATGGGTGGCTGTGTACACTGGCTTCCTTCTGGTACCTGGCCACGAGGGAAAAACAGAGTGGAGCAATGTGGTCAGGCAGGACCAGAGTCTGTGAGTCTGTGAGTTGCCTTCTGTAGCTCTCAGCTAGGACGTCACCACTGACTCTCAGAACAGAAAGGAACAGCTGCATGGGCCTGAGGCAGTTGTCCTTGGGGCCACAAGGGCCTTTGAGAATCCATGGAAGCTTTCAACTGTCCTTGGAACCATTGCTTGCCTGGACATACACACACACACACACACACACACACACACACACACACGCACGCACGCACGCACACATGCACGCACGTACGCACGCACGTGTGAGCACACACAAATGTGGTTTTACTCCCATAAATAATATACCATAAACTCTGCAACTCAGTGGTTCTTAGTATTTTTTGATAATTTTTTAAATTTAAATTTGCAACAAGCTTGTTTTACATGTCAACCCCAGTTCCCTCACCCTCCCCTCCTCCCCTGTCCCCCTCCCGACCTTCATCCCATCCTCTATCTGCTCCCCAGGGAGGGTGAGGCCTTCCATAGGGGGATCTTCGAAGTCTCTCATATCATTTGGAGGAGGGCCTACAAGATTGTATAGCTGCTGTCACTTTCTAACCTCAGAGTTACTAACCCAGAAGGAAAACATATTCTTAGGACTGGAGAGGTGCCTCAGCAGGTAAGGAAAAAGTACTTGTTACTTTTACTGAGGACTTGAGTTGTATTCCCAGGAGCCACATAGAGCATTGGCTCTCATGGTGCTGGAGTTACAGACAATTGTGAGCTGTCCATCATGGAACCAAGCCCGGGTCCTCTGGAAGAGCAGTGTGTACTCTTAACCACTGAGTGTTCCACCACCCCTTTTTTATCTTCATTATGTATATGTGGAGGGGGGAAGATGCCTAAGGTGGCTGTGAGCTGCCCGGACATGGGTGCTGAGAATTGAAGTCAGATTCTTTGCAAGAACAGTATGCACTCTTAACTGCTAAGCCCTCTCCAGCCTCAGAAAACATTCTTTTGTAGTCACTCCACATTCTCTCCTGGCCCCAGCTAGTAACCTAATCCATCTCCTGTCTCTACGTATTTGTCTCTTTGGCTATTTCATACAAATAGAATCACACATTGTTGGTTTTGTGTCTGGCTTCTTCCTCTTAACACATTTTCAAGCTTTATTCGTTTTTATCATGGTCCGATACTTCATTTATTTTCATAATTAACACTTCTAATTAGTATCACACTGTATGGACATGCTGCATTTTGTTTAGCCATTCACCGGTTGACATGCTTTTGGTTGTCTCCACTTTTTTGGATCTTAAGAATAACACTGCATATGGGTGATAGACTATAGAGTCTTTTGCTCCATTGAAGTTGATATGGCTGTCCCTTCCCTCCGTCAGTGTTTGATGTGCATATCCCCCAAAGCTAGGTATGGGGTTATAGTTGGCTTTCCCTATAGAGAGGACTTCTCCTGTCAAGGATATTTGAGTAGTTCTGCAATTCTGATAGAACCTCTAAACAAACACAAGAATGCTGCTGGAGCCGGAGAGATGGCTCAGCAGGTCAAGGCCTTTGCTGCCAAGCCTGATGACCTGAGTTCACTTCCTGAGACCTGCTTGGTGGAAGGAGGTGAACCAGCTCCTGCAAGTTGCTCTCTGACCTCCATACACATCTACCCCACCCCCACTGCTGAATAAGTAAATGTCATTAAAAGAATGGGGCTACTCTGACCATTCATATACAGGTTACACTCTTAAAATCAACAGACCATTTTAGGATGTCCACAGACTCCCTGAAACCTATCTCTTCAGCTAGGAAAACTTTACTATTTTATAAAATGGGGGCATTTAAAAGGAAATGGAGAAGAATAATGACAGTTTATTGCTGCTTGGTGAGTGTCCTGGATTAAGTATTTCACACCCATGGGTTCATTCAGTCACACCAGCCCTGTCTTACGTATCTCACTATTACAGGGGAGACGACTGGGGCTCAGAGAAGTTGTGGTGGGTTTTTTATAGTCAAAGACTTAAGCTGTGTTGTCACTGCCAGATAGTTAATGACAACTGTGCATCTGTCCTCATCTGACCCCTTTACCCCACACCCCACCTCATCAAAGCCCCTATTTGCTTCCATTTCTCAGTACTAGAGGAGTACCAGTGTCATGCCTGCCAATAAGCATGCGTTTTACCCAAACCAGTCAGTCCAGTGCTCCTTGCCATAAAATGACCTCTCCCCAAAGTGATACTGATGACTCCTGCTTTCAGCTTTTCTCACTTAGGGATGGCAATCACATGTCTCTGTCTATTGTCTGTCTGTCTGTCTGTCTTAGTCTCTCTCTGTGATAATACACTACACACTACACTGTGGTAATAATAGCTCAGGGGTGCCCAGGATATCTTCTGGGCAGTGAGACATGTGTAACATCACCCTTACTGCGACATTTGACATTCCCACTGCATACCTTGCTAGGGAAGGAGGTTACCAGAGGCAGGCTGAGGACAGTATGTAGTCCAGGATCTTTGGGGATGTGGGTAGCTGCCATTTGAAATTCAGTTGACATCATCATGCTGTTTTATCTCTCAGCCAGTAGACAACCAGCAAGCCATGGTGCGCAGGGAGTCCGTGGTCAACCTGGAGAACTTTAAGAAGCAGTATGTCCGCAGGCGGTGGAAGGTGCGTCAGGGCTTGGGGTGAAGGGTGGGGGCCTAGTGGGACGCCCTGCTTCCCTCCAGATCTCTGTGCACATGTCACCTGACAGTTCTCTCCTCTCTCCCCTCAGCTTTCCTTCAGCATTGTCTCCTTGTGCAACCACCTCACTCGCTCCCTGATGAAGAAGGTGCACTTGAGGACAAGCGAGGACCTGGTGAGCACATGCAGAGCCCTTTGCCAGGGCACAACTCCTGGACTGTGGGAGTAAATGGAGGAGGATGTTAACTGTTTTCAGCTCTTCTGCAGGCCCTGGAGGCTGTGTGTGACCAGCAGAGGGATATGTTTGAGGGACCGGGACTGCCCTTCCACCCCTCCCCTCCAGCGCCTACCCAAGGACCAGTAGCCCTCTGGGAACTGTGGAAATGAGTCCCGTACACCATCTAAAATTTATTCTGGAAGTGTGATGGTGCACACCTATAATCCAAGCACTTGAACAAGAGGGTCCAGGCCAGCCTAGTTGACATGAGACCTATTTCAGACCATCTCGCCTGAAAAAGTTCATTCCTGACAACCCCAGTTCTCCCTTAGAATGGTGCTTTATGCCCTTGCCACTTTATCTTTTCTATTTTGCTTCAGACTGCCTGTATCAATAACGTTTGAGGACACATTTACTTGTTACAGTTTTTGTTTGTTTTGGGTTTTTTTTTTTTTTTTTTTTTTTTTTTTTACTTTTTTTGTAGTACTAAAGGTTGAACCCTGGGCCTTTAATATGTTAGGCAAAATCTATACCTGGTCCTTTAGTGTATGTTTAAAACAAGAGGCTTATAATGGGAATATATTCATCAAGGGGGTAGCTTCTAGAGCCAGTCTTCCAGAATTCAGATCCGCCTCTTACCTGCTGTGTGACCTCCAAGAGGTTGTTTAATATCTCTGTTCCAAAATGTCATTATTTGTAAAATGGGGGGTAATAATAGTTCCTACATTGCTGGACAGTGATTAGGCTTAAGTGATGTCCTTTCCTTAATGTCTGGTGGGTAAGTGCTCAATGTGTTTTAGCAATTGTTATTGCTGCTTAAAATCCTCCTGTAGGTCTTGAAATGGGCATCAGTGTTAACATTTAATTGTTAGGGGTTCTCTAAGAGAGAGCCAAGAGTGTCTGGAAGGTATAAATTATAAAAGGTGACTCTTTCCTCAGCAAGGGACTAGAAAGCAGCTGCCTGGCAGTCACCCTGGGTAAACTGAAGATGCTTAGCCCTAGGCCTGCACCCAACTGCCAGCTCACCCCTGTACCTCTGTAGTCCTAACATGTCCTGAGGGGCCCTCTTTCTTCAGACTGAGCTCTTGTTTATTCCTACCCTTGCCAGGACTTGAGAATTGGTAGCTCCAGGGGTTATGTGGCTTTCGGACACTGAGTCCCTCTTCTGGCCAGCAGTCTCACGGAATATGAAGGGAACCAACCTTGCTCCCTCTGAAAATCCCTGTTTGTCACTGGTGATTTTGTTCAACTTATTTTTTTATTGTTTGACTCTGACTCATACTAAAAAGTTGCTGTTCAGCAAAGCTTGAGTTATTTTTGTTGTCCTAGTCAGACTTGGTCCAGGATGTATTTGGCTAAAGTTGATCTTAACCTCAGATTTCCAGCTGGCTCGTGCTTGCCTGGAGGAGGTATGACAGGGTAGCAGGCCTGCCTTTCACACTAAGTCCTGGACCTTTTGTCTTGATATAGTTGCAGGGAGGGCTGTAAAGAATTTAAACTTCTTTCCTAACCTTTTCCTGGTGCAAAACAGCCTTTTTTGATTTTTGGTTTTTCTTTCTTTCTTCTTCTTCTTCTTTTTTTTTTCTTTTTTGTTGTTGTTGTTTTAACTCTGATATTCAGGCCACTTTCTTTCTACAGAAAGAAAAGGCTGGGTCCTACATGGTTTTTCCTGTTGGACCCTTCTTAATTTTTTTTTTTTTAAGAAAGATAATAACGGGGACTTTTGTTTAGGAAGCATAGAAATTAAACATTTTGAGGGCTCATTTAAATCTGAATTATTCTTTTAATAATAACTGGGGCTGGAGAGAGGGCTCAGCAGTTAAGAGTACTTTCTGCTCTTGCAGAGGACCCGGATTTGGTTCTTGGTGCCTAAGTGGTGACTCACAACCACTGTAGCTCCGATTCCAGAGGATCCAACTCCCTCTTCTGGCCTCCATGGGCATCTGCATGCATTCACTCAGGCACACAGACAAAACAAAATAAAACCTTACAGTTTGGACAAACGAAACCCCTTACAATAATGATCTCGATTTGAACACTTAGATCCATGGGAGCCGGTGCAAAGACGTTGCAGCCTCCAGGTGGTGGCTCTCTAACTCTGCTGTGGGGGCTGACGGGTTGTACTTCCATGGAAGTGGCACTGCTCAGAAGCCATTTCCTTTCAATGGCTTTACAGTAAAGCTTGCTGAAAGCATGGTGGGAGCCAGTGGAGGCCGAGGGTCTGGAGCGATGGCCAGAGGACCTTATGGAAAAATCAACCCCTTCCCCACAGGCTGAGCTCACAAGACCCAGTGCCCACAAACCACCTTTCCAAGTGGCCTTGACTAGCGACAGGCACAAATAGCACCAGATGACATTGTCACTGTTACAATTGGACCCCTTCTGGTACCTGTTTTCCTGTGGATGCCCTACCTGCTTTCCTGCCTTGAGAAGGAGGCTACAATACAATTAGTTTGGCCTCATTTCAAGTCCCCCTCCTGTTCCTGTATGCCAGAGGTGTCTGGATGGAACTAAGGGCTTCCCGTTGATGCCACCCTTGCTTGTCCCAGCTTATAAACCCCTTGCTTGAGTGCATGAACTTGGATGCTCAGTGTCACTTCATTCATATCATCCTGTGATGTCCTGCCCCGAGCCTCTTTTTCTCCTCCCCAGAGGAACTGCGAGAGTGACACAGAGGATGACATCGCCAGGAGGAAAGCCCTTCACCCCCGAAGGAGGAGCAGTACCTCCTAACTGGCCTAGTTTTCAGTGGCTGCCAGGGAGGGCCAAGCCCCTTGTGTTCCTTCTGTGCAAGCTCTTGGACCCTGCGTGTCACCAGTATCCAGACAGTCTGTGTTCCTGAGCACTTTGTAAGAGAGGAGTCTGCAGCACTCAGAACTTTGAGGAGACCCTGGAGCGTGGCTGTCTCCTGCCGGGGAGTCTCCAGCGGTCCCCAAACTCCGGAAAACTGGCTTTCATCTGTCTGCTAACCTCAGAAGCTGGGATGGGGTGTGGACTGAGGAAACGGCTGTAAAGGAGTATCATTGTTACTGCAGGTTAAAGGTCAGGTTTAGGCAGCTTTCCTCACTCGGTGACAGAGTTCAGAACCAGCCCGGGCAGCAATCATTGGGAAGACAGAAGCCTACCCTATCAGGATGTGTGAGTGAAGGGAATTTCTAGAGTGAGGGACCAATCTTGTGACTTCCCAGACTTTGTACAACAGTCTCTTGCCAGCTTACTGTGTTGTAATTTTTTTTCCTCATTTTTATTATTAAACTTCTTGTTTATCTAATGCTTGGCTGTTTTAGAAGCTATCTTCATCTATAGCCTAAGACCTGTGGCTTGAGCAGCACTAGGATTGGCTGCTAAATGGACAGGGCCTCAGGACCTTCTGAGCTGTCTTCTCTTGCTGCCAAGGTGCAGGCCCTGAAAGGTGCAGCCCCACATCACCTCAGAAGGCTGTGGCCCTTCCGCCATTGCTGTTGTCAGCTCTTCCCGTGGGGGCTAAATTCGTAAGGTGAAGTCCTAGCCCTCAGGACTTCACCATCACTGGAGATAAGAGTGATAAAACAGCTCTTGAAAATAAAATGAAGTCATCAAGGTAAACCCTAACATGATATGACTAATATCCTTATAAAAAAAGGAGGATTGAGGCTGGTGAGATGGGTCACTGGTTAAGAGCAATTTCTGCTTTTGCAGAGAACCCAGGTTCCAATCCCAGTACATACAAGGGGCAGCTCACAACCACTGATGACTCCAGTTCCAAGGAATCCGATGCGTTCTGGTCTCTACAGGCACCAGATACACGGTACTGGGTATATACATGCAGGCACTCATACACATACACATACATAAAAAATAACAGTAAGAGATTTCTTCTCGGTATGGGAGCTCATGTCTATAATCCTACTACTCAGAAGGCTAAGGCAGGAGGATTGCCATGCGTTCAAGTCCAGGCTGGGATATGGGGGCCATTTACTGTATGTGGTGTTATGTATCTTTAAGTTCTGACTACTCTGGACACTGAGACAGAAGGGTTGCTTGAGTCCAGGAGTTAGAGGCAGCCTGGGCAACAAAGGAGAGCAGGAGGAAGAGCAAGAGATTAAGATACAAAAGAAAGAACACCTGAGAACACAGGGAAGATGGCATCTACCAGCTAAGGAGCAAGGACTCAGAAGAAGCTAGCTGTCAGATGTGGTACTGTATGTCGGGAACAGGAGGTTCATGCTACACATTTGAAGCCACACTGGTCTACACATTGAGTTCCTGGGTAGCCAGGGCTACATTGCAAGACCCTGTCTCAAAAAAGTCAGAGTTGAGAGAGGGAAGACCCACAATGTCAGATATCTGGCCCCTCTTGTGAGAAAATAAGCATCTGTTGTTTAAGCTATCTAGTCTGTGCTATGACCATGCTAGCAAACTGCATACCTGCCAATTACAGACAACAGAGGCAGGGGAAATTTTAACAATCTAGACAGGAGGGCAAAGAAGGACCCTCAGGAAAAAATGAGAAAGATGAAAACAAGATGAGTGAATATAGTACGGAAATTTCTACAACATACAAACCCAGGCCATGTTTTCCTGGCCGTAAGAATGACTTTGTTGACCTTGTTGACCAGAGTCCCTGAGAAGACTCATGGAAGCCCAAGGGAAGTGTGTTGCAAAGAAAAGGAAGTCTGGAAGGAGGTGAGTGACAGGAAATGAGCCAGGAAATGCAGTGTGTGTGTGTGTGTGTGTGTGTGTGTGTGTGTGTGTGTGTGTTAGAGTCCGGGTGAGTGCGTCATTAATTCCTTTTGTTAGCAGCGAGGGGTTTGTTATTGTGTGTATAATTTGTTTACATTTATTTACTAATCAATTGATAATGTGTGTATGGGGGTGCACACATGCCACAGCACACATGTGAAACTCAGAGGACAACTTGGAAGAAACAGTTCTCTTCTATCATATGAGTCCTGGGAATGGGTTTCAGGTGATCTGAACTTGTCAGTCATGACAGCAAGCACCCTTACCTGCTGAGCCTGCTAACCAGCCCTTGTTTCCTTTTGAGACAAAAAATCTCATGGAGGCCAGGCTGCCTTTGAACCCTTGATCCTCCTACCTCTGTCTCCTGAACGGCATTATGAGCATGCACCAACATACTTGAGGCCTACAGTGAATTTCAGTCACACTGTGTGAGTCAGCCAAGCGACCTTCACGCTTTAGATGGATCCAGAGCAAAATGTCCCCCAAGAAAGACTCTAGTTCCAGAAAAGCTCCTAGCAAAGGAGGCCATGCTACTCCCACATGCTGCTCTACTAGCAGATGGAACAAACTGGAGACCCAGGTGTGCTCTGTTGGCTCTGAGAGGAGAGGCTTTGACCAGCTGACATCCTAAGGCTGAGAGGGCACAGTGTGTGTGCCCTGATGAAAGTGGAAGATGACCAGAGATGGAAACCATGCTCTGTGAGGGAAGTTCTTTCAAGAGCTCTGAGGAGCCTGCCTGTGTGCTTGCTGGATGCCACAATAATATCCCACAAGCACACATACACATTTTTAGCATGCTCTGTATTTTAATGTCGGTTTCACCATCTCCCCTGACTCCAGATCTTAGAGTCCACTGCCATCTCCCATTATTTATTTGCCAACAAAACAAAGCACACAAAAAACACCCAGCATATTTTGGAAGCAAAAGAAGGTCACATCCAAGTAAGCAAGTGAACCATGAGATCTCTAGGAAAAAAAAAAAATCAAGCCCCATGCTCCATGGACAATTAAAGTAAGTACATGTGAAAACTGGGCTGTTGAAGGGGACAACATCTATCACAGGCTTGGAGAATTTTCTTTCCATCTGCCCAACCCCCCACCCCCAGTTTGATGTCAGACCCATATTGTTCTATTCATGATTGCTGCAACCCTCAAAATATCTCACTTGGCATCTGTTGAGAAGATCCCATTCTCAGCAAACTTTAACAGGCTTAGGGACTGTTAACAGTAGAAGAGCTTCCAACAGTGGTTAATTGGTGTTTCAAAGGCACAGGCACAGTTGGTGTGCTTCCTTCAAGTTTTTCTCTTCTTGATTTTCCCTCCCTCCTACTGGTGCCCTCCATTAACATCAATTCATAACGGCTAGCTGAACACAGATTCCCCGAATCCCTTACTCACTGGGTAGAATTCACATCCCTAGCTCTTAATCTAGAAGATAGTTGATTATATTATCAAGGGACAAAATGGTATTGTAAGATCTTTCATTCAATCCTTGGTTAAAGAAAAAACGAAAACAAACAACGAAAAAAGCTGGCGACAGTTCTGAGGGACCCAGGCTTCAGCAGAGCGTTCTGCAGCCCTGTTCACAACCTTGTAAGGGAAATGAACTCCATTTATAATGATGATGAAGCGAGCCTCCGCAGAATTGAGAACTGTGCCTCCTTCTACCAGCTGGAGCACTTGGGATCTGGACCCCAGCCCAGATTTGCCTACCCCACATTCACATTCTTTAATACTTTTCCTGGGGGGGGAAAAAGGGTGGTAAATGAAAAAAAAATTTTTTTTTTCTGGAGAACCACATAGAGCACATAGAGTGTGGTGCTATTTTATTTAAGTGCAAAAAAAATCTATACATAATAACATTGTGTTCTAGAATCAGATGACCTCAGTAAAAATCCAGGTAAAGCTCACCTCAGGGCAGCTTCAACGGGGGAGGACACCAGCTGTTGCTCAGTGTTCTGCTTTTTGGTTTTGAGTTTGCAGGACTGGAGATTAAGCCCAGGCCCTTGACTGTGCTAGACAAGAGGTCAACCATGAAACCCCGATTGTCAGGGCTCAGTCAATCCCCTCCTCTCTGTTTCCTTGTTTTTGTTGTTGCATTAGTGAGAAATAACAAAATATCTTGGTGACTTACACAGTAGAAATGTATTGTCTCAGCTTTAGAGACAGCAAGTTCAAGATGGAGCTTTGGCTTGTCTCTCCTTGGTTTCTCATTACCTGGTCTTCTTTCTGTCGATGTCTCTCTCTCTCTCTCTCTCTCTCTCTCTCTCTCTCTCAGGCCACCAGTCATGCTGGATTAGTGCCAATAATATATCTTCCTCTTATCTATTCATCCTGTAAGGTCCTACCTTTAATATAGTCACTTTCTGAAGTACAGATGACTAAAAGTTCTAGATATGAGTTTAAGAAGAAGTAAACAATTCAGTTCATAAAATACCTTAATCATGGGCTAGGGACATAGCTCAATGACAAGAATGCTCTTCTAGTGTGTGCAGAGCCCTGGGTTCAGTCACCAGTACTGGTACAGATAGGTATAGGTATGACTGACTTGAGTTCTAGCCTGGAAAACCCAGGGAGAAATACCTGTGAGTCCAGGCTCACAGAATCTGTAGCAACCGCCTCAAACCTTAGAAGCTGTCTGCCTGATGTTCCAGGGGAGGGGACTGAGGACATTCGCATCTGCTGAGTCACAAGGATGTGGGCTCTGTGTATTCAGTTAGACATATCTCCTTTCACACACAGGGAGGGGAAATTGCAGATGAGCTGGCTGACCCTGCATTCCTCCAGAAGGTTGTGACCTTAGCTAGAGGGAAGGAGTGGAAACAGGAAATCTCCTGAGACCTACAGGCTGACAGAAGTCACACTGAGGCCTTGGTGTTCCTCAGCTGGGTCCCTGGGTCATGGCTTTCTCAGACCTTTCCAAAAACCAAGCTGTGAGCTTTGAAACTGAGGGTCGGAGAGGAGGCAGGGCAGGCCTTCCTGAATGGTGTAAACTGAAGACCTCATCACACTCTCACTCAGTCTAAATGGAAAGCCCCACCAAGCTGTAAGGGATCTTATTCTGGAAACTTCTCATTTCTCTACTCGTCAAGCAACAAATAACACTGCACATGATCTACTTAGCTACAATGGAATCAACCAATTCTTGCAAGCTTGTCTTAAACAGTGAGATTTGCCCCAGGGAGAATGGGACAGAAAGGCTGGGTCATGGACTTCAAGGCTGGGATAGATTTTACTGGTTCCTTCCCACTGTAGATGGGAAAGGACAAAGAGCATCTATGTGCTTCTGTGCATCTAGGAAGGTTCATGGATAAGGAGCTTCAAGCATCGTGTGGGAGGTAAAACACATCCCCATGGCCATCGAGATGGCTCAGCAGATGAGGGTGCTCTCCATCAAGGCTGATAACCTGAGTTTGATCCCTGGAACCCGCACATGCATTGTAGCACATGTGCGCACACACACACATACTATTGAATAAATAAATTAATGAAAATTGTTAAAACTCATCCCTAAACATTTTTTTGTATATATACTGTTGTAGCATGTCT